ATCCCACGCCTTTGCCAGGTTCGTGGGCACCACCCGGGCGGACTGGGAAAGATTCCTGGCATTTGCTCTTTTTAGGGCTAAAAAGAGCTCAGTAACCAAGACTCCATCGATGGCCACTGATAACCCTAAGGGTCCAAGTACCCAAATAGTAGGGTTTCAAGGTGCAAAAACCATTCAGAGTCTGGATTTTGGGACCTAAAACCTTACTACTATTTGGGTACCTGGACCCTGAGGGTAAGTAAAGCCTTTAAAACGACAAGCACCGTTGGATTTATAGGAGCTGCAACTGTAGGAACAGTTACCCATGATTGCCTAGCTTGAAACGGTTTAAAAGAAAACTGATATCGCACCCAATATCTGCATGGAACTCTTGCAAAACCCTGATACTGTACAAGGAACTCTTTTTGCAATCGCCTACGGACACCCTTAAACGAACCCTCATAGGCATCTCTGTGTCCTTGGTCTTAACAGTGCAAGGCCTCCCTTTCGGGTTCGTTCTATACAATTACGAGGGTGTGTACCCATAGGCCCTAAAGTAGTTCCTTTTTGGGATTCATATATAGAATCCTATAAGGTAACCCCAAAAAGGAACTACTATGGGGCCTTGGGATTCATATATAGAATCCTCTAAGGTATCCCCAAAAAGGAACTACGATGGGGCCTATGGGTAAGCTGTTATGGGGATTATAGGTGTACCTTAAGAACCCCAAACCCACTTTTTTTGTAGGCTCTCATTATAAGCCCTAATATGGGATTTATAGGGACCCTAAACCCTAAACCCCAAACCCTAAACCCTTTTGGGTTCTTAAGGTAGTCCTTCAGTCGGACATAGGCCAGCACAACGGCGACCGAGAGGTTCAACCCTGTAGCCAAGCGTGGTTTAGGGTTTAGGGTTTAGGGTTCAGACTCCAATATTCCTTAATAAAGGAATATTCCTTAAACTACAGTAGGATCCTCAATATGATTTAAGGTATATTCCTTAATTAAGGGATATTGGAGTCTCTGGGTTCTCCTTTTGCAATATTTTGGCGTGCGCAAGATGCAGTCCGATTCTCGATGTTGTTCTGGCTTTAAGCGTGTGAACCACACTATCCGGCTGAAGCTCCGAGTATTAAGAAGAATAGCCAACGAACAAGCTAATCGGTTTTGGGGCCTTCTGAGAAGCGCTCTCAAATCAAAGGGCTACACGAAGCGGCATCCTCGACGTGCTCTTCACACTTTGCGAGTTCATGGTCCTGGGTTGCGAGGCTGCTTGTATGAGGCTTGAGGTTTGATCACACTGGTAGATCTGACCGACTGCATATTCATGCAAGGAACACGTGCACATAAGCTGCTACGACATGAGGTACGAGGTAAAGTACCTGCGGAGTGAACCGAGCAAGACTCAAGCAGGAGATCTGTGTAGTGTAGGGGCCTTAAAAAAAATAACTAGGGTTTTGGGGTACATTATGACTGTGACTATATTAAGGAGCCCCCCAAAACCCTATTCAAAATATTATGGCCCCTGTATTGCAGACCACGAGAACTCCAGCCTGGACCAGGGGGCAGGCAGGCTTTGGAACCCGGGTCTGACCTTTGGGCCTTTGTTTAAAGCGACCTGAAGGACTCGTCCTGGTACCCTTCCATACAAGGATCAGGTATAAGCACCGTGACTGCTCTATGCTGTGGGTATGCTCTCTTTCTCTCTCTCTCTCTATATATATATATATATATATACGCACACAATCGCACACATGTGTCTGTAAAAATTCACGACACGACATATAACATCAACCAACACGTGCAAATATGACGACTGCGAAACCTTGCGTAAAGGTCCGCTTCTGCACACACATCGTTTCTATGCACCCCATCAAGCCTGGGCTATCGTACGCCCAACCATAGAACAGATCAGTCCAATCAAAAGAGACAAAGCTCAGCAAACTCACGCCCCCAAACCCTAAACCTATAAACCCTAAGCCAAATCTCAAAATCCAAAACCCTAAACCCTTCAATGTAGGGGGCCTTAATAATTCGAAGAGGGTNNTTTCATAAGGACCCCCCCCCCCCCCAAATAGTATAGGTGATTCTTAAGGCCCCTATACTCAGCTCGTCTAAGACCCTAACCGCCTAGATCCCGTTGCTCCCGAGGGGTCCTCAGCCCCTGAATCCGATACGGCCCATCTTGTGGATCCAAGCCTCATCGTCAGGGTTCATGGTTTAGGGTTTAGGGTTTGGGGTTTGGGGTTTAGGGTTTAGGGTTTAGGGGTTTTTGGGTTTAGGGGTTTAGGGGTTTAGGGGTTTTAGGGTTTAGGCTCTAGGATTTAGCTTGGGGTTTCGGGCTGTGGGGGTTTAGGGGTTTCGAGTTTAGGATGAATGATATAGATCCGGTATTGGGGAGCGTCATCATGTTGGTTCTTAGCGTGCCTCCGATGCTGTCGAAAATCCCATCCGTGAACCCTACTCCTCAACTCTACAGACTTCTAGGCTGCTGGGTTTATGATTTATCCTAGGCACCCTGAACCCTAAACCCTAACCCTAAACCCTGAACCCTAAACCCGAGGCCCTTAAGGCCCCTAAGCCCCAATGCTACAAAGCAAGTTCCCGGTGATGCCGCCGGCTGCCCTTCGAGTTTGATCATCTTCGAGCGGCCAGGTGTCAGGGCGACAAAAGGAGCCCTAGACCCTACTAAACCCTAGACCCTAGACCCTAAACCCTGAACCCTGAACCCTAAACCCTAAACCCTGAACCCTGAACCCTAAACCCTAAACCCTAAACCCTAAACCCTAATGAGGAACCTGATCAAGAGACCCTGGCTCTTTATTAGGGTTCTTAATCTGAGCCCTAATATATTGGGGGGTATAGGGCCAGGGTTTCTTAATCAGGTTCCTACATTATACCGTTTTCAGCTTTAGGCCTTCGGGTGATTGAGGGTTTAGGGCTTAGGGTTTAGACCTTAGAACGTTTACAGTAGGGTTGAGGGCTCAGGGCTCAGGGTTGTGGGTTTTGGGCTTGGGGTTTAGGGTTTCGGTGGTGGTGTGTTCAGGTTTTTGCGCGGCCTTTGAATATGATATGCCATGCCACTCATGGTTTGGTGGTGTTTGAAGGGGCTTTGGATTGTGGACTGGAGGGGGTGTGGGGCTCTGAAAAACACGTTCAGGAAGCTCATGTAACCCCGGTGAAGGTACACGCATAGCAGTACGTATCACAATCCATGAACCACCGAAGGTTTGGAAAGGACAAGAATACCGGTACTGAATCACATGCCGAAAAACGGTTGATGGACGCATTCTGCAGTACTTTAAAATAGCATTTTTTGACCTTCGGCATTATAAAAAGGCTTCTTTAAGGGATTCTACACAGGGTTGCTTCAAGAGTTCTTTACAGGATTCCTTTTCAAGGGATCGTTTAGGGCACAGTTCTAACTTGCAGGAGCTGCCGATCGGCAGTATCATACTTAGCTGACTTAGCTTATGAACACGAGCACCAAAAATCAGGGAACTTCCCAAACAGAGGGCTTCTATTCGAGACTAGTTGGGGCATGCTTGGGGGAATTAAGGCGTCAGGCATCAGATTTATACTTCTGGCCGTGACTTTGGGTGTTGACTCAAGATCCGAGGCCCGACTCGGGCCTAAAATTCAAAACGCTGGACCGACATCGGCCGGCTAGCTCCTAGAATCCACAACCTGCAAGACCGCCAGCCAAGCGTGTAGACGAAAACACCCTCGAACCTTCAACATCAACCCCCATGCTCCTAAACCCTAAACCCTAAACTACCCTTAACCCTAAATCAAATGCAAGCCAGGCACCAAAGGGATTGGATACGTCACCTTCAGACCAGCTGAGACAGGAGGACTATGCGCAGGCCATAAAAACTGGTAGTGGCAGCGACTAAAGCGTCGCGGAGCACATCTTCTTAGACAACCCCAAAACCCTGCTCAAATTAGAGCTTCAAGCCCTATGAACCCTTCAATGTAGTGCGTTGTCTAAGTACGTGCACTTCTTTTAAGACCTCCAACAAAAAGTGCTATTAACAGTCCGGATCGAGGTAAGGAGCGGAGCACGCCAATGTAGCCTTATGCAAATAATGCGTTCTGGTCTTGACACTCCGTCCCAGCGTTTCCAATGATATCACCATCATCACTCGATAAACTCAAGCATGGAACAACGGTTAACGACGTAGTGAAAACCTTGCTAGGCTGCTGGCAACAGAAGCACCACCCTGCACCCCGACGAGGACGAGGACGAGGACGACGACTGCAGTACTACTACCACCACCAACAACAACCGCTCCTACCAATGACACAGCCACCACCAGTTTCAGCAGTAACGGGTCGTCGTGGTGGCGGCGGCGGTAGACGTAGCAGCGGCAGTAGTAGGAGCAGTAGCAGAAGCAGCAGGAGCAGCAGCAGCAGCAGCAGCAGCAGCAGCAGCAGCAGCAGCAGCAGCAGCAGCAGGAGCAGGAGCAGGAGCAGGAGCAGGAGCAGGAGCAGGAGCAGGAGCAGAAGCAGAAGCAGGAGTGGCAGCAGGAGCAGGAGCAGCAGGGGCCGTCGCGGTAGCGGTGGCGGTAGCAGTAGTACGTAGTCGATGACATTGTCGTGGACTACATACACCCAGCTCGGGACCCAGGCCGTACCGCAGCAGTGTCTGGGCATCCACATGAGGCGTCCGCTCGTCAAGAACGAGGTTCGGACCTGAGGGGCGACGTTTTCAAATTTGGGGCAGAGGTGATGCATTCAAGGCTAGTTTAAGGGGATCGGCAATATGCCGCTTTGCCGGCTTGAAGCATTGCTCCATGGCAGCCATGAATCATGCATGATGCATCGAAGCCTTCTTTCGGTATCAAAAGAGGTGAGGCAAAAGTTGCAAGTGACGCTCGATTCGTCGAGGTAGGAAGGCCAACACTACACAGTTGATCACAACTGAATCACGTCCGAACTGTACAAGTGGGACAGACTCCGTAGCAGACTCTACGCATCTGCGCGCTGTACAGGTCGAGCCTGTTCAGGCTTTGCCGAACCTACACACACGAACCCGGCATGCACATGCCGTTTATGCAGCTACCAGGAATGGAAGTCTGCCCATCTGGGCACATCATGGGCATCGTGTTGCACGAGAGACACCTGTCTTGGCACGACGAGCCGATACACTGGCCTCCCACACAAGTCTGGCAGGAGTCGCACAACGCACACTGAATTTCGCACCTTGTGCCGATGCACTCGCCAAAGCCATTGCAAGTCTGGCAGGGGTCGCACATTGAACACCTCGCCTTGCAGGGGGCACCCACGCACATGCCATCGGCACAAGTCTGGCAAAAGTCACAAGGCGGAAAGCACTCTCGAGGATCCGGATGCGGGCCCCAGTAGGGCCTCCAGTGGTCCTCGTCCTGGTGGTGCTCTTCCTGGTCCTCATGGTGCTCCCGGCGCCGATGCCGGCGACGGTCGTCCCCAAGGCGGCGCTCATCTCCGAAGGCCCGAGGCTCCTTGCCTCGGAGGGAGGAAGGGCGCTCTGCCTCGGAGGCGGCAGTGACTCCGCAAAGGAAGGCGACGAGCAGCAACGCGAACATGGCTCCGTCCGTCTGAATGTGATCCGACCTATCTCTGCTACGTCGAGGAATAAGAGAACCACTTCTGAACGGCAAGGGGTACAGCCGCCGCACTCTACAGCAGGCAAAACCCGTGCACTGCAACCGTGAACCATTATCTCTGAATTACTCAAGCCCCAGAACCAAAGGCTTTCCATCCAAACCCCTGAACGATAAGCCCCAGCCGCCTTTCCCCAACCCCTAAATATAAAACCCTAAACACCACCCTAAAGCCTATAAAGTAGCTTCAGATTCCCAAGCCGTAAGTCCTAGAGTCCCCCCAGGTCTAACCTACCCTAAACCCAAAGGCCCTTAAATCCTGCGAAGAAGCTGCTCATCAAGTTCGCTCAACCCCAGTGTAGAGCCTAAATTATTACCGATACTATTGTCTGGGGGCTCCTTATTCTCATTATCGTATATGATGGGGCCCAAAACCCGATTCTAATTACTGAAGCCCCTAGATACACCATGCCCCCCCCAATCCGGCACCCTAAACTCCAAAACCCTGCAAAAGCCCACACAAAACCGCCGTCGACCTCATAGGTCTGCTTCGCAACCCGTTTTGCCAAAAGTGCCAAAGGCCCTGAATATGCTACCTATGAAACCCCGTGTAGACACCTGCACAAAAACAGACATGGAAGACTTGTCAGTACAGACATAATACCTTTACACTGCCCTGAACAAAACCCTCGCAAAGCTCCATAAACTACGGTGCACAACCCAATAACAACTTTCATACGCACCCTCGCGAACCTCCTAAAGTGTGCCGGAATAGTTGGTCATACGACCTCTTATTGTGTCTATACAAGCTTTGACAAAATCCTTCCAAGAACCCTTAAAGACCCCTCACAGATCCCTACCCTTCTAGAATCCTTGCCCAACCCTTTAACAACCCTTAGGAAAGAGTTCTTGTAAAGTATAACCCTTCTATACCCCTTATATAGTCTCATAAAGCCCCATATAACCTCAATGGTCCCTTTAAGGGTCCCTGCTTTGGCGTCCCTTGATTTAAGAACCCTTACGAAAGAGTTCTTGTAAAACCTTCTCAAGCCCTTTTTTCTCGGTTCAGGGTTTAGCATTCTATAAAACCCGGTGCTCTGGGGTCCCCTGCTTTGGCCGTAGGCCAGGTGGCGGTGGCCCATTGGGGGAGAGCGCTGGTCCGGCATGAAGCCTCAGGCAAAGGGGCCTCTAATCATTAGACTAAGGCTTTGGGGTACCCTAAACCCTAAACCCTATAAGATAACCCTAAACCCTAAACCCTAAACCCAAAGCCCGAAAACACTATACCCTAAACCCTGAACCCCGGGGTTCCTCGAAGGGTTCCTTCGAGGGCTCTATAAGCATCACAAGGCACCCTGTGGTCTTAGCCCTAGGGCGCTACATGGCGTCGTGTAGATGGCTATAAACGGCTGTATCAGGGGTGTGTGTGTGTGTCTATATAAATATATACATATGTCTCTGTGTGTCTGTATACACAAATATGTATATATAGGTGTATATATATATATATATACATATACATATGCATAAAGGAATGGTAGGAGGGGCTCATTGGAGCCTAGAGGGTGTCAACGATGGCATACAAAGCGCTGATGCGTCGATTTGTTGGGATCTATATAGGTTTATACTTAAGGTTTAAAGGTTAGGGTTTAGAGGTTTAGGGGCTAGGCTCTATTGGTAGTTCTCTAATTAGGCTCCCCTTTATTATAAGGGCGCCGTACTAGATTGGGGACTCAGAAAAAGGACCCCAATTTAGAGAACTACCCATGTGGCGATGAAGGCTGCAAAAGGGTTCTAGAGGGGTTTGGGGTTTAGGGTTTAGACTGGAGGGGTTGGGATTTAAGGGTTCGGGCATAGGGAATCGGGCGAGGGCTTCGTCTTAGTGCTTAGCTGCTTCGAATCGGTTCAGGGCGGAAGGTTCTGCTGGCAGATTCAGAGAATATGAGGCCTCCTGAATCTTCTCGGGTTTAGGGTTTAGGGTTTAGCATACTAGCAAGTACGAGTATACGGCTGCACTACGGTTGTATATATATATATATACACATACATACATATATATATATATACATACATACATATACATCCTGCATTACCTTAAGGACCCTAACCTATAGGAATGATGGCGTGTTCCTGGGTAATACAGGATTTTATATCATCAACCGTGTTACAACATTCCGGCCCCCTGTTTTGTACTCGCAATTAAGGCTTCTCGGAGTAGGCGTGGTCAATAAAAGCCGCCTGATGTGTGGAGGCAAACCCATACCGCCCATACATTATGAACCTATAGGTCGGGGTTTAGGGTTTGGGTGTTTTTTTAAACTTGGTACAGAGGGTTTGGGGTTTAGGATTCAGGGTTCAGGGCGCCGGGTTTGGGTTACGAGCGCAAATCCATATCCTGCACGTGCTTTAGTTGGGAATGATCAAGTCAATGGCGTCTATGCCATGGAAGACACTAACCCGAGCAAACTTTCACGGGTGCCTGATGTCTCTGCAGCACTCTGCACCTGTTTTTTTCAGGCAGCCCAGAAACTCCAAAGCCCCTGAATTCAGGAATTTACCTCGGACCACATTTAGGATCCCTCTCTGGCTTTTAATCTTTAGGCCTTTGGGCTCTCGAAAAGCTGAAGGAGCACTTCTTTCCAAAACGTCCCTGCCCACCGTGAAACCAGAACTAAACCAACGATTTGGGGTTCAGGTTCTAGGGTTTAGGGACGATCACAATCCCTGAATTCTTAGCCAGCGTCTGGGGAAGTTCTGGGTAGCCCTAAGCCGAGATCTTAAGCCCTTGAATAGAGTATTAACTACATTTTATCCTTCAAGACTAAGCGGTGCGGTTCCCCCTGTTCTTGTTACTCAGATTCTTGACCTTACAACAAACCAGCGCTGAGGGCGGATCGAACTGACAAAGACATGGCTGTGGCGCAGGCAGAGCTGGTGAAGTACAGTAAGATGTTCTGAGATGTCCTACCACAATGGGGCAGGGGGGTCTTGTGCTTTACTCTACTCACTTAATTAGGCCTGCAAAACTGACAACGACCTCTAAGGTTCAGGGTAGCGTGATCATGGAAGCGCCGGGCAAGTAAGCTGAGAAGGTGATGCTGCTGGGACTGTGACATCTGATATGATAGCATCTGCATGCAAGGTTTCGTAGTTCTGGCAAGCACCAAAGCTGCAAGCCTCTTAATCGAATGGGAGAAGCTGCGAAATAGCAGATACTGCAATTGCGTGTCGAGGCGTAGACCTTGAACCCTGAACCATGTTGAATCCAATACGCCGCTTACAGTCGCTGGGTGGCTGGAGCCAGGAAACACGGCGCAAAGGTCGACTCCTACTTAGCAGCTCAGCACCCGTGAACAAAAACTACGAAGACGCCTTGAAGTTTCAAAAAGCACACAACCAACACACAACCAACAACAACGCAAACAGCGCCGTGCGCAAGGACGAGAAACTGCATCGACCACTAAGATGTTTCTTCGAACTGGGCATCAGTTAACGAACCATGAACCATACCTATAGGGTCATACCCTACCCCCTTTTTTAGGGTACCTACTTTTATATAGCAGATCCCAACCATAAAACTCGGTACCTTAAAAAAGGGGGTAGGGTATGACCCCATAGGTATGGACCGTATTTCCAAGCCTTCTTCTTGAGAGGCCTCCTCGGCTGTGGTGTCTGCGATTGCTTGGGGTTTAGGGTTTAGGGTTTAGGGTTTAGGGTTTAGGGGTTTAGGGTTTAGGGTTTAGGGTTTAGGGTTCAGGGGGCACATGGAGAAGCACAGCAGAAAGTGGCGTTCCCGAACAGTCGCAAGGAGGCGGCGGGGCAACACTTGGAAGGAAAATATGGAAACAAACCCCATGAAACACCATAAAACTCCTGAAGCCCTAAACCCAATGAAGCACCATAGAACCCCCGCCCTTTAAAACCCCCCAAACCCTGAGCCCAAACCCAGTCTCTGGGTGTTTTTGGGTAGTTGAAGCTTTTAGGACTGCAGGCGTTGGGAGCCAGAGCCCCGAAACCTGTGAACACACACCCCTGCAGCGAAATCCTAAACCCCAAAACCTAGAAAGTCAACCCTTTATGCCTTTTATAAAAGGTTTAGGGTTTAAGGCTTCGGGTTTATAGGGCTTAAGCCCTAAAAGCACATCAACCCTTAAACCTTAAAGCGCAAACCGTCGGCGAGATCCGCACAAAGCGAGTTGCACACGGCCGCCACGGAGAGAAGCGAGGCCGAAGCGGTGTGCCAAGCCTCGAAGGTTCAGGAATGTACCCCATAGGGGTTTAGGGTTTAGGGTTTAGGGGTTTAGGGTTTAGGGTTTAGGGTAGGGGTTTAGTGGTTTAGGGTTTGAAGTTTAAGGGCTTAGGTGTTCAGGGTAGAATTGTACATCGTTTCCTGTTTAACCAATTCTGATGGTGAGGATCCGATAATAAGCCCTACAGGCCCTCTAAGCCCGAATAGGGCTAACAGTTTTTCTAAGTGTGATTGGGACTTTCTCCACAGCAGTGTTATCAGGTTTAGGGCCTAAAGGGTTTAGGACTTAAGGACGATCTAGCCGATTAAGCCTATATAAGCTGCCTATAAACCCCAAAGCCCCATAAGCATACCATAGCTGCTGCGTGTTGACTGTCAGAATGCTTTTCGGGTGGCAGGTAGGGATGCGAAAACCTGCCAAGCGACAGATGAGCCCCTCAGAACAACTAGTCTTTCATGGGGCTCAAACTAATGTTAAAACACTAGGCACAGCAAGCAAAGAGGGGCCTACAGCCAATCCCCTCTCGGACCCCAAAAGCTCAAACCGGACCCTAAACCCTAAACCCTAAACCCTAAACCAAACCGGTCAACATCTCTCTAACATCCGGGCGAAGCTCCACAAGCTGCTTCTGCAGGACAGTCCGCTCCTCTTATATGGGAGCTTCCAGACTCGAACTACTTGGAGGCTCATGGGTAGTTATAAGTGGAGTTATAAGTAGGCTAACTATAATTA